TGGATCATACCCTTACATCACCAAATCTGAGGTCAAACAAACTCTCAGAAGGAAAAACTACAGCAACATAATACACATATAGCTAGATATATCATATAAGTACTAGCTGATTTACCCTGTAAATCATTAGGCTAAATATAAATACTGTGACAGGATTTACCTGATTGTAATAATTAGGCTAAATACAAATACTGTAAGAGGATTCGCCTGGTAGAGTAATATTTAGGTTAAATATAAATACTGTAACATGATTATATCTACAATCAAATGAAGTTCAAATTAAGATTATTTTGATTTCTATACTTGTAAACAACCAGATGTCAATAAAAACAATTGATCCAGTAAGAAACTATACATACATGTACCAAGCATTACTTTTTAGTATGAAATCAAGAATGTAGAACACTTTCTTTATCGTAGCTGATTATGACTATCAATAACTGGTCTTAACAGAATCATTTAGGGTGAAGTGTCTTGCTAAAAGACACAACAAAGACAGCACAACCCTGTCCATTTCTCAGCTTCCTGAGAAACACAAAATGTCAAGGGTATAGAATGTTAAAAAGTATACCTCAGTTAACATAGGCATACACTCTTCAAACTGAGCTATCAAAACCTTTATAACTTTATAAAACATCCATTATTTCTTAAATGATATGTCATTCATGCAACCATAGAAACACAATATAACCACAATATACTGCTCAGCTAGAGAGAACTTCTCTTAAGCTTAATCGGTTGAGCGTTAGATAAGTAAGCCATATGTCCCAAGGTTTGAATCCTGGTTGAAGCATTCAACGTAATTAATGACCTATGTTATATGAAACCCATGTAGGAATCAAAACCCTAGACCCTCAGATATCATATACATACTGTTTTTGTAATATTATCAAAACATTGACAGACATCATGAATATGGATGGAAAGGTTAACAGAACTTTTAGGAATTCTCAATTCATTATGATTATCGAAATGGATGTAAGCCAAAACCATTTCTGTTGCAGTTTTGTGAAAATTCCTACCAATGCTATTTCATTGTCCTTGATTAAATCCACTTTTGAACTTTGAATTGTATAAACATATGTGTTAAAACTCAGTAAAAACACAGGAAGATTACTGTCCAATACATCATTCAACTGTTTCCTAGCTATAATGTAAACACTCTTCGTAATATTGGTAGGTATCTAATTCACACTACAGCCATGAGGTATTATTGCATATATGAGTTATTTAATACATCTTTTATGTTTTGATGTAATATAAATATGAAATTACTGCATGTACATGGTTATATACTGATTTCCTTACTCTTTTCATAAAGCCATGAGGTAAAATATTGTACATGAATTTCTACATTTGTACAAATAGAATAATGTTGACTTATGGTATTCCATTAGCCTGCTTCCTGTTGAGGTTGCTTGTTATTAATTTTTCATGACGTTATAATGTTATGACCAAGTGGGTTATGTCTTGTTAATGATTTTTTTCCGCATAAATATCTTATTTTATAGTATTCAAGTTGTGATCATATATATGAGCAGTAAATATTCTTATTTTCTATATATGTACATTTGTATACCTGCCAGGTACTTAATAGTATACATGTATAGAACATATACAAAGTATTACAAAGTAAGCATGTTAAGCACAAAATATAGTTTATTGTACACGAATAAAAAACATACACTGGAAGCCCTTTTTTTCATTCTGACATATTATCTGGATCAAATTTTATACCTGAAGGGTCATTACAAATGTGTTCAGCTCTATTCTTTTGAAATTCACATTGTCAGTCATAATAATGTAAATGTTCTAGGAGACGCAGAGTATAGCCCCAAGGGTATGGTGTTTCTATTATGCTGTAAAACTGTCATAACAATGACCTGCTAAAGCTCAGACCGATACTAATTATAGGGGAGGTCCTGGTCTGTTACTTATAAGTGTATTAACTAGATATGTAACATACAGGTGAATTAGATGTATGACCCCTGTATGATTCTCTTTTACAGCATATCCAGTATCAAAACACACATCACAAAGCTTTTCTTCTGACTTCTTGATTGGGGTTGATAATACAAATGAAATAACCTGATGCTGATGTACATTCTTAAAGCTGAAGTTTATGCCTGAAAATGACAAAAAATGACCCATCCCTTCCTAGATCAATAAAGAAAAGTTCATGAAATTGTCCAATCCAGGATTTGTAGATTAAATATGTTATGTGATTTGTCAATTTTCGCAACAATCCTTCGATAAACACTCTCCCTGAAAACACATATTCCCAGCCCACTTTCCCATATCAAAATGAACAAGTTGTGGGGAAACCAGAAAATATGACATATACATCTCTAATCAAGTGTATTCAATATGATGCTTTCTGTGCATTGTACAACCCTCAACTTGTGAAATTTATTAAGTCATTAACCACACTAAAACATATTTTTCATTCAGCCTTTTCAAATTACTATTCATATTTTCATATTTCATAATGACCATCAAAATGTCTTCATGCACTAATGCAGTAACACTAAGCATAGCCAGGAAATATCACAGAGTTTGAATTCAGACAAGAATGTTATTATTTACAAAGTACCTAATACTTTTCTGAATGTCAGTTCTAAGGAGATGACCACTTGAATTAAGATAACTAATCCACATTATTATGAATGGACTAAAGAGAAATTCTGTCATCATCTAACTAAAACAATTAGATGATTCACAACACATTATGTTAACATAAAAGATTTAACCTCCTAATTGTGTACTTTCCAATGATATATTCAAGTTTAGATTACAAAAATTAAACAATATCTTAATTTAGATAATTATACATATAACTGACTAGTATAGCCAAAATTTGTCACACAATTATCAGTTAAAATACTTATTTGTTACACAACAGCTATAACCTGAACTGACACTATAAATTTTTCTTGTCACTCCTTCTTTAATAATGAGGAAAACAGAAAATATTTGGAAATATATCATAACTAATCTTATCTTTAATTTTTCTTGGTTTCTGTGATTATAATTTACTACAAGAACAGTTGTACATGATGTTACATGAAGACTATCTGATAGTCATTTCCAATTTAAACAAAAGAAATAAAATACCTTTACAAAGCCTGAAAAGATTTTTATTAATCTACAAATGAATATGATGAAGTTTAATCAACATCAATTTCATGGGCCCACTACAATGTTTGTTGCTGCAAAATGATAAATTTTCATAATTTTTTTTTTATTTTCGTTCAATTCATATTACTCTTAATCCACAATTTTTTATGTCCATAAAATGTTGAATGGCCAATCAACATTGACATAGATCATAGTACTTGTGGATCTCATGAATAAAATTTCTCTATGAAATAAAGTGATGACGAAAATGCATATTTTTGTAAAACCACCAAATTTGAGTCTATTGAAAATATACTATTTTCACAGTTTGATAATTTGGTGTTCACAAGTGATTTTGATGAAATCAGTACTAATCAACTCCAAAATAAAGGACTAATGCATTATATATGTATATACTTCCATATATATAGCACAATGTATGCTATACTTGTAATTTGTTATACATTCAATGTATTGGTAAACACATATTATATGACCTTATTTTATGGTAACATAATCAATTAATACACAGTAGTTTAATTACCTTTCAAACTGGCATGATAATATATGTAAAGTCATATCTATATATAACTTATAATCAACATGCTGATAACGTTTAGATTGTGTAGAGAAATCAAACTATATAAAATGCTGATTACATTACAGCAGTGAAAGTTAGATGACCATGTTGAACACATTTAGTAGATCTATTTAAATTAGGTAAATATTTTTAAAAATAAAGTCCTTTTAGTCAACACAGGAATAATGATGGCATTTCCCCATTGAGTTTAGTACATAATAAATTTTCACATTTTTTCTGAAACATTATGATATTTTTAGTATTATCTGCATTGATTACATGTTACATATAATATAAGTCGGAAATATAATGTTCATACTACATTCTAAAAAGGACAAATCTGACCACGACTGAAGAGCAAAAGTGTTGTGATGAAGAATTTTCTATTTTCAATACCTTTAGTTTTAATACGATATTAATATACATCCCTTTTATAAGACATACAACTAACACCTGTAGGATTCGGACATACAGCTACTGGCTGTAAGATTCGCCTTCTTTAATTGGTCTGATATTAGTCTGAATTATTCTGTCGTTATAACGACCTTTTTTATATCGGATCTATCGACCGATAGACCAACAAGAAAAGATGAATGAATATAAGGTTGGGATAATTCGGGACAACTAGCTGTAAAGTCGCATAAAAAACATATTTGTAAACAAACGTGGAGAAATAAAAAAACAAAAACGTAATCATGCCATTTATTGCACAGTAAACGACACTGTGATATTCTGTAATACTCGACTCAAATTTGACAAAATAACATAAAAATCTTAAATGCCTCCAGGGGCGGGTACGCCTCCTGAAAGCACGTGGTTTTAGTCCATTTTTTACGGTTAAGATGAACTTCTAAATCATCCCCTTAAGTGGTTGTTACAGAATACGTTCTTTTAATAGTTTCAACACTCACCTCTAAAGAGTTAGTGTCCAGTTTTGATTTTCGTGGGGTTTTCTACTTTCTTATCTCAGGAGCTTCAGTAGGTGAAGTATTTACTTCCGGGTAAACAAAACGTAAAATAATTAACGCAGTTCACTTTTTGAAAACATCTAATTACGTAGAAAGTTCGTACTACAACGACTGTAATTTAGGTTATATCCAAAAAACTCTCAAAACTACATGTAAATCAATACAAAACCAGTAACTCCCCTAATAGTGAACAAAAATCGCTTCAATCGAAATTTAAATTCATTTTTATAAATAGATTCTGCATAAATGAAATGAAGTATTTTGAATGTTAGTAACTACAAAAAATGATTTTGGATCTAGATTAATGCAATCAACAACGAAAATTTCAGGCAAAGATGGCCGACTATGAAGGTCGGTTGTCTCCTGCCTGCATCGACGATTTAGACGAAGAAACTCTCGATCCTAGAATCCAGGTACAGGCCCTACAACAGCCAGAAAGTCTCAGTCACAATACATGAAAACACATCTTACAATATATTTTCTTCAAATTCTTACTTAGCACTAGATACAATTATCTTGCTTCGAATTCGTTATCGATTTATGTGTGAAACTGTAATTGTATGCTGACACTTTGAATTTATTTAAACCTTTATTAAAGTTGAAACGTTGTTTGGCATTTAGGTCGTCATTCGATGAAACCAAATTAGGGATCTGCTTTTACTTATAATATCTAAGGGTCCACCTGTTGTTCCGTACTACGACTGTTCCGACTTCGTGTCGTACCAAACATTGGTTGTATAAATTTTTTTTCAGATTGTACCAGAGCCAATTCAATACGGTCCACTATATATCCCGACTAAATAAATGCCAGAGTCGTTATGTACGAAACAGTGAAGTCAATTTTTACCAAACTTATTTTCAATGTAACTTCGCTTGCCCTTTTACATTTTGGTTGATAGAAGCAGAAGTGTTGCAGTTGCCTTCCTTAATCAGACGTGAAGGTGTTCACGAGCATTGTATATCATAAACTATAATGAAAATATTGGGAAGACAAACATATAATTGATATTGCCAGCAAAGATTGTTTTTATCGAAGGCACTTTTAAATCATGTGTCATGTACAATAATAACACTGAGAAGTCAGTAGTTGTGATAAATTCCGTCAAATATCTGAAGAGAGTACATAAAATATAATCAAGAACACTTCTCACCCATTTAATCCAGTGATATGCCGAATATGAAATTTGAAAATGTATGTAAAGTGTTAAAAACTGGTGTATTTCGTGGTATATAACAACCCAAATAATGGTACATATCAACTGTTGTTCTTACTACCTAACTGTGTTACAAACAACTGGCACAAACAGGTCATGGTACAGAATGACTGGTACCATTCAGATTCTTTTAACCAACAAAAGTCAGATGGATCAAGCTTTCTTACAAACCAAAATAAAAAAAAAAACATTTTAACTTTTAACAAATCATACTTGACACACTAATTGGTCATATATTAAGTGGTTTATAGGAGTTGTGTGCCTCCCCTGGCATATGAGTGCTCTACTGAATGGGCCCTCTTATGAAGCTAGAGTGCAACCTTATTCCCTTGTACAATTAAAATAGACCTGCCATATTTTCCCTTCAGTCTATTGTGTTTGACCCCTGAAGATTACAACATGCTCAAAGGAAATATGTCATTCATCTATAGCTTTTGCTGGGGTTGGAACAAGTGACCCCTTGTTCTCAAGCTGGACCGTCTATTACTTTACTGAAGAGAAATTCTCACTAGCTGAGACTAGTAAGATGACCTGTACTCTTGACTGCTATACCTTGTCATGACATCATAAACAAACATCTCCTCTTGGGTGGTGCAGTGGTAACGCATTCACCTAGACATTCAGGGTTTGATTCCCAGAAGGGATGTGAAAAGGTATGGGTTCACCTGCCTGACCACACAAGTTTTCCCAGGTATTATGTTTTCTCCAACAGTAAGACCCCTTGCATTTTTCAATTTGGGCCAACAAAAATGAGTGATTTAAGTTGATAAAGTGTATCTTCAACAAAAAAGAAATTGTGCTGTTATTGAATAGATCTAGATTTTTTTTTTCTTTGTTTGGTAAAGACAAATTTGTACTTGTAAAACTGCCTGGTACATGTATAGATGTATAGATATTTGTCTTTTATATATAGATGAATATATAAAATGTCTTTTCAAGATACAAAGTCATAAATAAATAGTGTTAACAAGAAAGAAGAAATACAGATTGGTGTGACTACAACCTCTTGAAATTTATTTCATGATTATGTTGATTTCATCTGAGCAATCAAGTGTCACATTGGTGTGGCTGTTGGTAAAATCTTATCATTGTTTATGGGGAAACATTCAACCAGGGTAAATTTTACCACTTTATCAATATTATTATTTTTTTTTTTGCTTATTTGTAAATGCGACCTTAAAGCATAATAATGGACATTTCAGCTTTTACCTAAAATGTTAGCAGCCAGTTTTTAAGGTGAAATGGGTGAAAGAGTAATTACAACTAAACTTTGCATGTATTTAACAGAATGCATATATGGAAATATTGGCAAGATCTAAGTAAGTTATAATGGAGAGTAACATGTTGTAATAAATATTGATGTTCTATTTGACAGGTGGAGCTGGAGAAATTGAATAAGGCATCTGAAGAGATCAACAAGTTAGAGCTGGAACTTGATGTAAGAATGATAAATAGTAATAACTTATTTTCCACTTTGTCATGATAAACAGATTTACACACACATGTAAGCTTGTAATTTTTAGATACATCTTTTTAAAAAGTTTAATTAATTATCTTAAAGCAGTGAAAATCGAAATTCAGCATTCTATAAAATCTATTTAGACATTAAAAGCTAAAACAAAACACCATTTTGTATCCCCCATGGAACACTTTTGTGGGGGGATATTAATTTGGGCCCAGTCCGTGTATGTGTGCATTTGTTCAAGGGCTTTAACTTCAACTCACCTCCACAAGACTTTATGTATATATTATTAGATTAGTGCCCAAGTTATGGTTTTTGCTACTGATGACATTTCTTTTTTATAATTTTTTCTGTAACCATGGAAACATAGTCAAAAAACACAAAATTAGTATAAACTTTCCTTTCCAGGGTACAACTTCGAAACCATCTCACTTAACTCCACAAAGCTTTCTGTATACATCAGATTAGTGCCCAATTAAAAAAAAAATTCTTAGACCATGGAAACAGATAACCCTCATCATAAATTTTAGTTCTTCTCGACCAGTGCTCTGAAACCATTCAAGATCATTGCTTAAAACTTTTTACACTTATTAAGCTTAAAGTTTCTTTTGTATGGGGAAGTTCTCCATTTAAATACTTTTTCTGTTACCATGGACACAGGTAGGCCAAATCACAAAGTTCAGTTTTTTCAAACTAGTTCTCTTAAAAGTGTTCAAGGTAATTACCTGGTACTCAAAACTTTGTACAGACATCAAGTTAGTACTCTAGTCAAAGTTCTCTATTTCAACATCTTGTATGGAACAATTAACAATAAGAGATAGAAATGAAACTTGTTGTACTATTAATATATATATATGATTGATTCTTTTAAACAGCGAGGCGCTTGGGATAACGTTACACTTTACGTTACCTTGTTTTCTCACTTGTACAGGATATAGATATGTAGGCAGTGAAAGGATCCTGTAAGTGATAGATCACCAAAGAGAGGAAAATCTTGCTATATTCATTCTACTATTTTCAAATGGGTTTTGAGGATGAAAACTTTATTTTTTTGCAAAAAAGTCAAGTATAGCTCATCAGTTGAACTTACAGTTTAATATTGTGGCTCATCAAAACGTCTGTGTCACATTTAATTATATAGCTCATCAAAATTCCAGTTCACATATATTTAGCTCACAAAAATCCAGTTAAGCTGTTGTAGAATGTTTTTTTGAAGTTGAGTCAAGTCTTGGCCAACAAAGGGTCAAAAAGTTATGATATAATGAATTAGAAATATAATGTGAAACCAGCCATGTTAAGATATGATATACATTGTAGGTGAAAATGTTAAGATATGATATACATTGTAGGTGAAAATGTTAAGATATGATATACATTGTAGGTGAAAATGTTAAGATATGATATACATTGTAGGTGAAAATGTTAAGATATGATATACATTGTAGGTGAAAATTTTATTTTATGTTTGTAGGATGGAAGAGCAGGCTTTCGTCAGGCTCTGTCTGAGTCTACACAGAAACTTAACACACTGGCTAAGAAACTGGGAGCTTGTGTGGAAAAAGCAAGGCCCTACTATGATGCCAGGGTGAAAGTGAAAGATGTGAGTTGCTCACTGCATCTTTATTCACATATCAAAACAAATTCAAGGATTTTGTTGTAAATCTTAGCTTCTCTGACATATTCCTTGCATCTTTCCAAATCAAGTTTTTTGTTCCATTTGATCTTTTAAAATTTTCTTTGATACAGACAGATGTCTATTTTTTTATTACTTGATAAAATATGCAGTGACTTAATATGCGAAGAAAATTTAAATTAGAATACCTATGTATGCAATTTTAGGAAATGTATGACTGCTTGTGACCGATATCTTATTTGGTCTCCAGGCTCACATTGAGGCCCAGAAAACTGCCCTGAGGTTTGAACGGGCCTGCAGCATGCACGAGGCAGCCAAGGAGATGGTACAACTAGCAGAACAAGGTTACATGTGTCGAGAGGAGCCCTCCGACCCCGCCTGGCAGGAGATGCTTAACCATGCAACTATGAAGGTTACTAGGCACATGCAATCACTTGTGATGCTTAACATAATTTATGCCAATTTTAATATTGTCACCTCATGAATATGGGAAAGTTGATGTAACAGATTTTTGAGAAAAAATACAATTTTTTTATCAAGGTCTTGTATCTAACAGATTTACTTTTTTTCATCCTGGCAAACATCACCAACCATTGATTTGACATAAACATTTACATATTGTTTGGTTGAAGACTTTCTTACAGCAGTATTATTAAAACTTGAATATTTTATTTTACTATTCTTAGACACAGACTGAAATGAATAATGAATTGATAGCAACTTTCACAGAGCAAGTTCTATCTATGAATAATGAAATATCAACCAGTGGTCTTTTTACATGTATAGTGGAACTTGTCAATACCAACCATGCATAGGACATGAATATTTAGCAGGTTTAGGGAGGGTTTGGTTTGTAGAAGTGAAGCAAGTTGACCTTTTCCAGACTCGGATATAATTGAACCAATTCTATTCTGTGTATTACATTAAGCATTCCATTTGATTTAGCATTAACACTACACTTGTCCAACTGAATACAGAAAAATGTTTATATAGAGTGAAACTATTTTGGTAAGGAGAAAAAACTGATATTTGTATCAGCTCTGCAGTTTTAGGCCTAGCGTAAAAGAAATCTGCACATTGCCCGGTAATCTCAGAGGTCACATTACATAATGCCTGTCTTACCCCTGATGGCATGGTCGGCTTGTTTGAAAGTGTTACCAACCTATATATTTGATGTGTTTTTGTTGATCAATATGAAAACCCATCTTTTGAAACAACATTCGATTAATGTTTCCTTTCTATGTGCATTATTCACTTACCCTCACTTTTCTAATGGAGCATCAGTACTTATTTCACTCTATCGGTATCTTGAATGAAATGATGAACTTGTTCAACATATTTCAATTTGTAATTTGAAAATAAAAATACATAATGTTTATCTTGATTGTACATGTAAGGCTGGTTTTCAGAAGTGATTTTCAGTATATTTAATCAATTTGGACACAAAATCGGTTCAGTTATCAGAATGGAGAGGGATCAGTCTTGGGAAGGTTTTTATTACTATAACAAAGAGGACGTTATTCTGTACATCGCCAGTTCGTTCAGTCTCAGGTGGTGAATGATTTGGATAAGGATCATTTTAGAGAAATAGCACTGTGAAATATTGATTATAGGTCTCACTTTGTTACTTCAATCATATTCATCTATCACTATTTACTATTGCAGACTGAATGCTTGTTCACTGGTAAAAGTTTTACCATATCTGTTAACAGGTAAATGAGGCGGAGAAGGAGAGAAATGAGAGTGAGCAGGAACACATGAGAACAACATTGAACTTCAATGAGGCTGACACCAAGGTGCAATTTCTTCAGAAAGATTTGAAAAGAGCCATCAATAAGTCTAAGTAAGTGATGAAAAAATAAAACCAATCTATTTACAGTGCAGATAAGGAAAAAATTCAAACTTGTACACCGTGTGGATAATGAATGTTGTGAATTTGTTTTTTCCCAGTGGACAGTTTAACATCTTTTCATCTTACTTTGCTAGCTTAATCATCTTCATCATAGTCACATAATTTTATTGTTTTCGTTCTTCATCATAGGTCAATTTTTCAGGCCTTAGATACCATGTATTATTACAATATTTCATCCTTAATTACCACACATTATTACACTGAATTAGGCCTTACTTACCACACATTACTACACTGAATCAGGCCTTTCTTACCACACATTATTACATTGTTTCAGACCTTACTTACCACACATTATTACACTGTTTCAGGCCTTACTTACCACACATTACTACACTGTTTCAGGCCTTACTTACCACACATTATTACACTGTTTCAGGCCTAACTTACCACACATTATTACACTGTTTCAGACCTTACTTACCACACATTACTACACTGTTTCAGGCCTAACTTACCACACATTATTACACTGTTTCAGACCTTACTTACCACACATTACTACACTGTTTCAGGCCTAACTTACCACACATTATTACACTGTTTCAGGCCTTACTTACCACACATTATTACACTGTTTCAGGCCTTACTTACCACACATTACTACACTGTTTCAGGCCTAACTTACCACACATTATTACACTGTTTCAGGCCTTACTTACCACACATTATTACACTGTTTCAGACCTTACTTACCACACATTACTACACTGAATCAGGCCTAACTTACCACACATTATTACACTGTTTCAGGCCTTACTTACCACACATTACTACACTGTTTGAGGCCTAACTTACCACACATTATTACACTGTTTCAGGCCTTACTTATCACACATTACTACACTGTTTCAGGCCTTACTTACCACACATTATTACACTGTTTCAGACCTTACTTACCACACATTACTACACTGTTTCAGGCCTTACTTACCACACATTATAACACTGTTTGAGGCTTTACTTAACACACATTATTACACTGTTTCAGGCCTTACTTACCACACATTACTACACTGTTTCAGGCCTAACTTACCACACATTACTACACTGTTTGAGGCCTAACTTACCACACATTATTACACTGTTTCAGGCCTTACTTATCACACATTACTACACTGTTTCAGGCCTTACTTACCACACATTATTACACTGTTTCAGACCTTACTTACCACACATTACTACACTGTTTCAGGCCTTACTTACCACACATTATAACACTGTTTGAGGCTTTACTTAACACACATTATTACACTGTTTCAGGCCTTACTTACCACACATTACTACACTGTTTCAGGCCTAACTTACCACACATTATTACACTGTTTCAGGCCTTACTTACCACACATTACTACACTGTTTGAGGCCTAACTTACCACACATTACTACACTGTTTCAGGCCTAACTTACCACACATTACTACACTGTTTCAGGCCTAACTTACCACACATTATTACACTGTTTCAGACCTTACTTACCACACATTACTACACTGTTTCAGGCCTTACTTACCACACATTATTACACTGTTTGAGGCTTTACTTAACACACATTATTACACTGTTTCTGGCCTTACTTACCACACATTATCACACTGTTTCAGGCCTTACTTACCACACATTACTACACTGTTTCAGGCCTTTCTTACCACACATTATTACACTGAATCAGGCCTAACTTACCACACATTACTACACTGTTTCAGGCCTAGCTTACCACACATTATTACACTGTTTCAGGCCTTACTTACCACACATTATAACACTGTTTCAGACCTTACTTACCACACATTACTACACTGTTTCAGGCCTAACTTACCACACATTATTACACTGAATCAGGCCTTACTTACCACCCATTATTACACTGAATCAGGCTTTACTTACCACACATTACTACACTGTTTCAGGCCTTACTTACCACACATTACTACACTGTTTCAGGCCTAACTTACCACACATTATTACACTGTTTCAGGCCTAACTTACCACACATTATTACACTGTTTCAGACCTTACTTACCACACATTATTACACTGTTTCAGGCCTAACTTACCACACATTATTACACTGTTTGAGGCTTTACTTACCACACATTATTACACTGTTTCAGGCCTTACTTACCACACATTACTACACTGAATCAGGCCTAACTTACCACACATTATTACACTGTTTGAGGCCTTACTTACCACACATTACTACACTATTTCATGCCTTACTTACCACACATTACTACACTGTTTGAGGCCTTACTTACCACACATTATTACACTATTTCATGCCTTACTTACCACACATTATTACACTGTTTGAGGCTTTACTTACCACACATTATTACACTGTTTCAGGCCTTACTTACCACACATTATTACACTGTTTGAGGCCTTACTTACCACACATTACTACACTGTTTGAGGCCTTACTTACCACACATTATTACACTATTTCATGCCTTACTTACCACACATTATTACACTGTTTGAGGCTTTACTTACCACACATTATTACACTGTTTCAGGCCTTACTTACCACACATTAATACACTGTTTCAGGCTTTACTTACCACACATTATTACACTGTTTGAGGCTTTACTTACCACACATTATTACACTGTTTCAGGCTTTACTTACCACACATTACTACACTGTTTCAGGCCTTACTTACCACACATTATTACACTGTTTCAGGCCTAACTTACCACACATTATTACACTGTTTCAGACCTTACTTACCACACATTACTACACTGTTTCAGGCCTAACTTACCACACATTATTACACTGTTTCAGACCTTACTTACCACACATTACTACACTGTTTCAGGCCTAACTTACCACACATTATTACACTGTTTCAGGCCTTACTTACCACACATTATTACACTGTTTCAGGCCTTACTTACCACACATTACTACACTGTTTCAGGCCTAACTTACCACACATTATTACACTGTTTCAGGCCTTACTTACCACACATTATTACACTGTTTCAGACCTTACTTACCACACATTACTACACTGAATCAGGCCTAACTTACCACACATTATTACACTGTTTCAGGCCTTACTTACCACACATTACTACACTGTTTGAGGCCTAACTTACCACACATTATTACACTGTTTCAGGCCTTACTTATCACACATTACTACACTGTTTCAGGCCTTACTTACCACACATTATTACACTGTTTCAGACCTTACTTACCACACATTATTACACTGTTTCAGGCCTAACTTACCACACATTATTACACTGTTTGAGGCTTTACTTACCACACATTATTACACTGTTTCAGGCCTTACTTACCACACATTACTACACTGAATCAGGCCTAACTTACCACACATTATTACACTGTTTGAGGCCTTACTTACCACACATTACTACACTATTTCATGCCTTACTTACCACACATTACTACACTGTTTGAGGCCTTACTTACCACACATTATTACACTATTTCATGCCTTACTTACCACACATTATTACACTGTTTGAGGCTTTACTTACCACACATTATTACACTGTTTCAGGCCTTACTTACCACACATTATTACACTGTTTGAGGCCTTACTTACCACACATTACTACACTGTTTGAGGCCTTACTTACCACACATTATTACACTATTTCATGCCTTACTTACCACACATTATTACACTGTTTGAGGCTTTACTTACCACACATTATTACACTGTTTCAGGCCTTACTTACCACACATTAATACACTGTTTCAGGCTTTACTTACCACACATTATTACACTGTTTGAGGCTTTACTTACCACACATTATTACACTGTTTCAGGCTTTACTTACCACACATTACTACACTGTTTCAGGCCTTACTTACCACACATTATTACACTGTTTCAGGCCTAACTTACCACACATTATTACACTGTTTCAGACCTTACTTACCACACATTACTACACTGTTTCAGGCCTAACTTACCACACATTATTACACTGTTTCAGACCTTACTTACCACACATTACTACACTGTTTCAGGCCTAACTTACCACACATTATTACACTGTTTCAGGCCTTACTTACCACACATTATTACACTGTTTCAGGCCTTACTTACCACACATTACTACACTGTTTCAGGCCTAACTTACCACACATTATTACACTGTTTCAGGCCTTACTTACCACACATTATTACACTGTTTCAGACCTTACTTACCACACATTACTACACTGAATCAGGCCTAACTTACCACACATTATTACACTGTTTCAGGCCTTACTTACCACACATTACTACACTGTTTGAGGCCTAACTTACCACACATTATTACACTGTTTCAGGCCTTACTTATCACACATTACTACACTGTTTCAGGCCTTACTTACCACACATTATTACACTGTTTCAGACCTTACTTACCACACATTACTACACTGTTTCAGGCCTTACTTACCACACATTATAACACTGTTTGAGGCTTTACTTAACACACATTATTACACTGTTTCAGGCCTTACTTACCACACATTACTACACTGTTTCAGGCCTAACTTACCACACATTACTACACTGTTTGAGGCCTAACTTACCACACATTATTACACTGTTTCAGGCCTTACTTATCACACATTACTACACTGTTTCAGGCCTTACTTACCACACATTATTACACTGTTTCAGACCTTACTTACCACACATTACTACACTGTTTCAGGCCTTACTTACCACACATTATAACACTGTTTGAGGCTTTACTTAACACACATTATTACACTGTTTCAGGCCTTACTTACCACACATTACTACACTGTTTCAGGCCTAACTTACCACACATTATTACACTGTTTCAGGCCTTACTTACCACACATTACTACACTGTTTGAGGCCTAACTTACCACACATTACTACACTGTTTCAGGCCTAACTTACCACACATTACTACACTGTTTCAGGCCTAACTTACCACACATTATTACACTGTTTCAGACCTTACTTACCACACATTACTACACTGTTTCAGGCCTTACTTACCACACATTATTACACTGTTTGAGGCTTTACTTAACACACATTATTACACTGTTTCTGGCCTTACTTACCACACATTATCACACTGTTTCAGGCCTTACTTACCACACATTACTACACTGTTTCAGGCCTTTCTTACCACACATTATTACACTGAATCAGGCCTAACTTACCACACATTACTACACTGTTTCAGGCCTAGCTTACCACACATTATTACACTGTTTCAGGCCTTACTTACCACACATTATAACACTGTTTCAGACCTTACTTACCACACATTACTACACTGTTTCAGGCCTAACTTACCACACATTATTACACTGAATCAGGCCTTACTTACCACCCATTATTACACTGAATCAGGCTTTACTTACCACACATTACTACACTGTTTCAGGCCTTACTTACCACACATTACTACACTGTTTCAGGCCTAACTTACCACACATTATTACACTGTTTCAGGCCTAACTTACCACACATTATTACACTGTTTCAGACCTTACTTACCACACATTATTACACTGTTTCAGGCCTAACTTACCACACATTATTACACTGTTTGAGGCTTTACTTACCACACATTATTACACTGTTTCAGGCCTTACTTACCACACATTACTACACTGAATCAGGCCTAACTTACCACACATTATTACACTGTTTGAGGCCTTACTTACCACACATTACTACACTATTTCATGCCTTACTTACCACACATTACTACACTGTTTGAGGCCTTACTTACCACACATTATTACACTATTTCATGCCTTACTTACCACACATTATTACACTGTTTGAGGCTTTACTTACCACACATTATTACACTGTTTCAGGCCTTACTTACCACACATTATTACACTGTTTGAGGCCTTACTTACCACACATTACTACACTGTTTGAGGCCTTACTTACCACACATTATTACACTATTTCATGCCTTACTTACCACACATTATTACACTGTTTGAGGCTTTACTTACCACACATTATTACACTGTTTCAGGCCTTACTTACCACACATTAATACACTGTTTCAGGCTTTACTTACCACACATTATTACACTGTTTGAGGCTTTACTTACCACACATTATTACACTGTTTCAGGCTTTACTTACCACACATTACTACACTGTTTCAGGCCTTACTTACCACACGTTATTACACTGTTTCAGGCTTTACTTACCACACATTATTACACTGTTTCAGGCTTTACTTACCACACATTATTACACTGTTTGAGGCTTTACTTACCACACATTATTACACTGTTTCAGGCTTTACTTACCACACATTATTACACTGTTTCAGGCTTTACTTACCACACATTATTACACTGTTTGAGGCCTTACTTACCACACATTATTACACTGTTTCAGGCCTTACTTACCACACATTATTACACTGTTTCAGGCTTTACTTACCACACATTATTACACTGTTTCTGGCCTTACTTACCACACATTATTACACTGTTTCAGGCCTTACTTACCACACATTATTACACTGTTAGAATTCTTTGTCATCATGTGCTTTTCTAGTCAGAAATTTATTTTTGACTTTTTTTTTTGAAATCAGGTATGTGATGTCGAGTTACGATAATTAAGTAAGGTCCTCACTAAATATGTTAATCATATCTGTTCAGAATCCAATTTGATTTGATGATAACGTGAAAATCTGTAAACCTTACTTCACCCACTTCAATATGAAATTTAACTTTGGAATAATTTAGTTTCTGTTTTGATATTAAACCCAGCCCTGCCAGAACACCATAAAATCCTTACATCTGTGGCGGTGCTACATATTTTAGAAATATCCGTTTGAAATAATATGGACATATAAAACAACACCTTAAATCAATATTCTTCACATGTTTTGTATAAAGACCTCATTTTATTGTGTTATTGCCCGTTTTTACCTCCCTTTTCCATTGTTTTGCCCCAGTATGTCCATTCGCAGGAGTTTTCTACAAATGGGTGACATAGTGAACAGATATGAATTGTGTTTATTGTAAGTAAGTTTTATCCTAAGCATGCCAGCTATGATATAGATTTTATCATCCCACAGGGTCGCAGTCTTTCCCATTACCCATTGTATATTGGTGATGCAGAATATACATGTATTTCAAATTATCACATTGACTCATTTTAGAAATTTCAACATGTTATTGAACTTCTCAAATATATTCCTTTTTTTAAATCATACTTCTCGGATAGGAATACATGATATATTTAGAACAACAAAAATGTGTTTGAGATTAAATGTGTTGACAAGAATATACATGGAGGTATAGGAATATTCAATATTTACCTCTGTGGTTTAGAGGAGAAAGGGAGGGTAGATAGGCTGAGATACAGGATACTAGAGCTTACAAAGCATGCTTATTGATATCAATGTCACCTTAGGCTTTTAAGTTATAAGATATGTCTGTTGGAATGCTTTCCCTCTAATTCATTAGATAAAATATTCCTTAACATGTAATGAAGTACTGTTATTTATGATTGTGTATACATCAATAAATACAGTCTGACTTAATTGTACAATATTACTCTGTATGGATTTATAATTATCCCATCCCTGGAATGCTTTATGATGAAAATTTTATCTCTTTTTTTGAATAGTTGCTGATGTTCACTGTTATATTTTGAATTAAACCTTGGTCATGGTTAAGTAAAACAAAACTATGGTCTTAATATAGCTACATATATATAGTAATGGATTTAAAATATAACTAAGGTTGAAAAATTAAATTTTACTTGCTTCAAATTGATGTCAATAATCTAATGCTCATGTATTGTAATGTATGGCCCAAAGTGCTAGTTTTCCTGGGTAGGGAAGGATTATCTCCCTTGAGAGTTCTTGCTTCTTGGACTGTTGACTTTTACTCTGTTATTTTCCTTTCGGTATCCTTAGTTTGTTCAGTCAGCTGGTGGTGGAAATTACCCCTTCTAGTAAGAATCCTGTTACATCCTTGACTTTTTTATCCGACAGACACTGACCTATGAAGAGCATAACTTTGCTTGCATATAGCTGGGATAATGAAACTTTGTGTATGCATTGACACAATGAGCAACATACCAAAACAGGTTCCACAACACCTTCATTAGAGAGTCATTGGCCTTGTTAAAATTTTGTGTCTAAAGCACATTAAATGGCTTGCATTTAACAAGGATAATGAAACTCGATCCCTCAATTATAAAGTTATTGCCCTTTGATAAAAAATTCTTGACGGTGTCATAACTTTGACCACATTTAAGCAAGGATCACGAAACTTAGTGTATACATCGATTATAAATATACTAAGTCATTTTAGTGTGTACCAAATTCAGGGCCCTTGACCCCTCAATTACAGAGTTATTGGACTTGGTTTAAAATATCTTGTTCAGGGCATATCTTTGCTTTCATTGCCCTTCTTTAAATTTTGTTGTGCAGCCATTACTTTGCCTGCATAAAGGATATTGAAATGTGATATATACATCAGTCATACAAAAATAAGCTGCAGTGTAGTTAAGTCAGTGTGTAGCATTTTCAAGTCTCATGACACCTCAGTTACAGAGTTATTGCCCTGTGCTGATTTTTTTTTGTCATGAGCATAGCTTTGCTTGCATTAAAACTAGGATCAGGAAACTTGAGGTTACATTGGTCATACGAAAAAAATGAGCAGTATACCAAATTCAGAGCCATCAACTCCTCAATTACAGAAGTATTGCCCTTTGTTAAAAGTTTTGGTCCAATAAAGCTGTTATTGGAGAGCAGTTTCACTGATACTCTTGTTTTATAATAGATTGTATAATAAAAAGAACTTTACACTTTTTGATTTCACCTCTTGACTGTGATGAAAACTCAGCTGATATTTGTGGTATGAGAATTCTGTATAATTGAACCTTTGTTTTGAAATAAAAAGTTTTTATTAGTCTTGATGTAGGATTTCATGACAATGATAGATTGGTTCTCAGCGACCTGAATTATTGAGGGAAACTCTCCTGTTTTTTTGTCATCTCCCTCTTTTTCACAGCGGTCATTTTGTTTTGGTTTTGGGATTATCATTTCTTTCTTTTTTTTATTTCTTATTTTTACCTCAAATAGAAAATTTGTGGAGACAAAGTTTTAGGTGCTTGTCCGCTGCCTGTCATGTGGGTCTTAAGTTTTTGTCTTCTGGGTTTTCTCAGCTGTGAATAATTAATTGTCTCACTGATATCTAGCAGTATTTAATATTTCTGTACATTATTATTTCGAGTTAGGTGTACATGATACATGGTTTATGAACAACATAACATTCCTCTGTTATGTTATTTATGATAAAAAATGATAAAAAAAAAGATGTCAGTTTCTCCAACACTTGCTCTTGAAATGAAAGATAAGATGTGGAAAGATGACTGTCTTTCCTAAAGGAAAAGACAGATCACACACACTTTGACATAGTCAATAGTCAAGAAGGATGGTAAAGAAAACCCAGATCATAGTTGAATATGATTATTTTGATGCATTTCATTGCTCATTGATGATGATAGGATGTGAAAACAGTTGACAACAACAACTTTCAATATTTTATGATAGAAAAGTGTGACAGAAAAATTATCGCCCCTGAGTACGTTCTGTGGACAGAAATATGTATCTCAACCGTTCTGTATAAGTTTGGTTGTCGAACAATGGTCAGTTGAAGCCAAAGTCACTTGTATTGGGGTGTTCATGGGTCCACGTCAGACCTAGAGGTTGCTCTGTTGGTATATTTTGTTTCTAATGACCACTAACAACTGCAGTTCTTAGGTAAGATACACAGAATATTTCTTTTGCATTTATAAGAGATGTTTTCTTTCTTGTTTCAGACCTTACTTCGAAATGAAAGCGAAATTCAATCAATCTATGGAGGTATGGAGAAAGTTATACTGTTAAATCTGGCATCAGAATAAGAAAAGGATTTCCAATTTTTTGCTTGCCTTTTTATAGATATAGCTGTAAAAATCTATCAGGGGCAATACTGTTAAATCTGGCATCAGAATAAGAAAAGGATTTCCAAATTTTTGCTTGCCTTTTTATATTTATATAGCTGTAAAAATCTATCAGGGGCAATACTGTTAAATCTGGCATCAGAATAAGAAAAGGATTTCCAATTTTTTGCTTGCCTTTTTATAGATATAGCTGTAAAAATCTTTCAGGGTCACGCAAAATAAGATGACAAGGAATATCCACTTAAGACTTATGTGCGTAAATGAGAGGGATTATACTTAGTGGAAATTTTTTATTAGTGGCATATACTGTATGGTACACTATTCATAAGATTCATCACATTTCAGGATCAGAAGAGAAATATTCATATACTAGAGGAGGATGTTTCACTTGCTAAAGCAACATATTCAGATGCTTTGAAAAATCTGGAGCTCATCAGTGACGATATACATCAGCAAAGACAGGAAAAACGAAAACAGCAGGAGCTGGGTGTGAGGGAGGCAGGGGTAGGGTCAGAGTCGCCGTCACCTCCACCCAACCGTGACAAGGGTATGAACTCTGTGGAAGGTGAGGGAACAAGTCACATTAGCAGTTGTCAGGGTTTATCTCAGGCAACTAACACTTCTAGTCATGCCAAACATTCAAACTATCATGAAGATATTAATTATACTCTTCCATCTGTCATACATCAAAGTGTCGATAAATCTCGCAACCCCAGCTACAGGGAAGCCATAGAGAGACATATCAGTCAAACAGAAGGTGGTGCAGAAGATTTTCCTGTGCCAACATTCGATGAGGAATATAGAGCACTGCCAAATAGTCGGACGACACAGGGTCAACAAGCTACACTCACCACCCTTCGACAGAGTTTGTCACGAGAATCTAGTATACCCAAAGACTTCAATAACAGTGTGTTATCTTCTTCTCCAAGTGATTATGCAGAAGAACAAAGAGCACGATCTCAATCGTCCCCTACCGGGAGACGAAGGAAACTCCAAGGTGGGCTAATTCTGAAGATCGATGCAGCTATGGACCCTTTAACTCAACGATATCAGGCAACCGAGATTCAACCAACCCGAAAAGGTCAGAGACGAAGACTCTCGAAAGACCAGTCAAAAGTGCAAAGGAATGTTGAGTTCCCCAAACATAATCCATTTGGTAGCCCAACAGAAAAGACATGGAGGGAAAATTCCATGTCCAACTCTCCAAGTCGTCAGGGGTCATTCCTAGCCCCGGGTGGTCAGGGTATTGACGGTGAGGATGGGTCAGACACAGAAAGCATTGCCAGCACTGGACCAATGTTGGACGATGACCAGGTGGAACTCTTAACACTGGAATTTTCTGATCAGGCTTCGACTGATGATAATAGTCCGACTTTTAAGCGACAGGACTGGAATCGTATGAGTTTACCACCAAAACTGAGTCATCTTGAGCAATATATTCATCCCCCTGTTGACAAGGGGGACACATCTGTTATAGAATCTCTCACAAATGGTGACGTGTCACTGTCAAATACACTGACAAATGACGACGATCCAGGGAGTCTCTCCAATAAAACTCTGCCCTTATCTAGTCCGGAAACTGACATTCAGATAGAAGTTCAGGAAAATGACACTCAGCTACAGAGTTCTGAGCCAGTAGATACAGCCGAGGAACTCGAAACTGTTTGATTTTATGTTTTACATTAGACACGACAAGCTTTGGTTAAGAGTTGGCTCAAGAATAAAGAAAATATGAGGTGTTAGTGTGCCTGCATATATAACTGTGGGCTATTCCAGTAAAACGTAAATCACTTCTATTGGTGGTTGGGTTTCCTGCTTATTTTAAGCAAATTATCAATCAAAACAAAGCCTGGAAATTGGAATGAGATAGATGTCTTACTAAAATAGCACTAATTTGTAATGGAGCAACCATTTGCCTCCGTAATCATCGTCTTTAGATTATTCTCCTCTACCAATTACATCAAGGGAGTTAACGATGTAGAGATCTAGACACTTTGCTGCTTAAAGTTGAAAAACAAACAGCTGTAAATATTTAAAAAAGAAAGACAATTCATGTTAAAATGGACTCCGTGCAATCCCATCAGTTTTGTGAGTTAGTGAAGTGGCAAGTATTTCTGTTATTGACTTCCTACCAAAATTGTTCTACTGAAAAATTTCTTTAAAATGTGCTTTATAATCTGTTATAGATATGTAGTTGTTCAAGTTGAACACACAATTTGTTCACTCTTGGTGATCTTGTAAACAGAAGAGAATGTTTGCCATTTTTTTTGTCTGTCATCAACAAGAAATTCTAATGAACACTGTTTCCATATATCAGTTTTCTGAAGAATTGCTTTTAACATAAGCTACCAACTCCAGTGCAGAATATATTAAAAAACATCCCTTTTTGTTTAATCTTTTTTTGCTAGTTTGTTTTGATCTCAGTTCATTGAGAACTTATCTCATTTATCAGGAATTAAAATTAATTCAGGAATTTTTTATTTATAAATATCTTTGAGAATCAATTAAGATTGGACTAGAATCCTTTTGTAGCCTTACTTTTGTAATTAAGGACAATAATGTGGAAAATCATGGAACAAAAAGGAAGAAAATACAAGGAAAATTTTTCTATATATGTACTTTGATATGAAACAAAATCAACCAATCAAAGAACACATTTATTAAAAAATTAAAAATAATTATTTATAACTGAAAGAAATAAAAGTTGATTGTGTTTAATGAAGTCTGATATGGAAATGAGGCAAAGACAAATCGATTTTGCATTTGACAGAGTAGGAAAATGCTCACCTGATACGTCTAAGAGGCAGATAAACTTTTTGTAAATGAACATAGGTATCTATGTTAAAGCATGTTTGACTATAGATCTTTGACTAGGATTTAGAGTAAACACTTTAAACAGGGTGTGATCAGTTGGTGTGACAGGGTATGTTGTATTAGTATTAATTAGAAATGAAGGTTTCTGCAATCTCCACTAACTATTGTAAGTATGTAGGTACATGAGTACTCATATACAGTATTTTATGTACATTTGTGTTCATTTCTTTTTTTCCTGAGATGGATACTACTATCAGTAATCAAGATTTGATCTTGAATACATGCATCTGTCAAATTTCTGTGGATTAATGAAGATAGTGATGAGATATGCCTTTACATTGAAATAACATTGTGCCATCTTCAATTGATCTCAAAGAGATGCAAATGAAAACAAAAAGTTTCTTATATTTGTATTGAAATTTTAATTTTGCTATATTCCAACACATTATTCCCTTTTAAGTTTTATCAATATTTCTGATGAAAGAAAAGATCTGATTACCGGGGTACTGCATTTTGTTGTTAAATATTATCTGTATTTCCTTTATATCTAGGTCCTGGACCCAGATAGGACCAGGTGTTAGATTTACCTGTATTTCCTTTATATCTAGGTCCTGGACCCAGATAGGACCAGGTGTTAGATTTACCTGTATTTCCTTTATATCTAGGTCCTGGACCCAGATAGGACCAGGTGTTAGATTTACCTGTATTTCCTTTATATCTAGGTCCTAGATGCTGTGGTTGATTAACCAGGTTTCATATATGCATTAACAACAGATTTTTTTTTCTTTGCTTTGATACACATAGTCTATTGACGTATTTGGATATAAAAATCCGTGGAATGTTTGAATCCTCGAAAAAGAAAATCCATGGAATGTTTGAATCCTCAAAAAATCCACTGTATGTAAAGTAAAATGTTCAAAAATCAATTATGATAAAAAATATATTTTTTGTATTACAACACTCTAAGTAATTCTTGTTTTGTTAAGAAATGTTTGCAGCTTAAAGATAGAAGTCTTGACATTTCTGTCATAGTATAAAGGCAGTTTGTCATCATCCATGTATTCTTCCGAGTTTGGCATTTGTGTTGGTTCTGAATATGTGCTTGTTAATCAATCTTTACTTAATATCCTATTGGTATTTAATTATTGTACACTGAATTATAAAAAGGTATTTGATATTATGTATATCTGTCTCATAGATCTGCTTTGTTTTAATTCCTCTTACATATATATTTATATGCATGTACTAAGATTATTTTGTCAAAAAAAATGTTTGATGTTGAAAATTTTCTGTGAATTTCAACAAAAAAATGAATAAGCAATACTGTTTATCAGTTTGATTATTTTTATTATTATTCATTTTTGGAATAAGGATATGATATTCAAATCTGATGCCCTCCTTTTTGACACTCAACCCTGATGGTATCTGCCCTCTTTTTTGACACTAAAGCTTTGTGGTAATTGACTTATCAGTAGGTTGATGTGATTTGAGATTTCTCAAAAAGACTGCCTGGTATTGATATTGAAGCAAGAAACAGTTGAGAATATTTAGTAAGATAAGTCCTAAAAGTTTAGTATGATGCAGGCTTTTTGATTCTTACATGATCAGAAGATCTATAATAAAGACGTTGTATGGTAGATATCACTTCATGGAAATCATTATTGGTTAGAATTAAAAATATTACGGCAATTTTGGATAATTCATCATCATGTTTTTATGTTCATAAAAAAAGTTGTGTTCAGTGATGTCTTTTGCAATAAGTTTGTCATTATAATTAGACAATTTTGTTAAGACACTCAGAGACGTCAGTTGTACTAGACATTGAAGTCATTCAGCCACTGATTTTTGACTGATTTTAGATGTTTGGGATTTAATCAGTATTAATTTGTTTTGTCCACGTAGATTGTTTCCTGGGGAGATGAACACCTTATTACAATGTAATGCATTTGTTATTTAGGTGTTTAGCAGAAAAATGGCATGAAAAAATTACCAGAACTATATGATAAATCCAATGATATATAAATATAACATTTTGTATGGACATATTATTTTATTGAAGGGTTATGTCTATATTGCTTTAATTAGTCATTTGCACCAGTTGAACACATATTTCTACTTTGAACTTACTTATGATAGCAAGATTTCTTGATTCTGATGTCCAGTCAAATCTGATCCCTGTGTATTATCACAACCCGTCAAATCTGAATCTTCAATATTCTGACAAATCTTACCCTAGATTATTCTTACAATCGGTCTAAGGCCATTATGTTTGAACTTGTGGACCGTAACATTAGAATGGTTTCACTTCGCCAGTAAGTTTTTGTAGTAACGTTTCTTTTTAATGAACGAAGCAGCATTTTAAATATTGACTTCTGTATAAACAAATATTTAAACACTGTAAATGGCAGGGTAAACTGTAAACTAGCCAGTACATAAAATAAATGATTCTATATTTCTCTTCAATATAACATGATTATTGTACCAATACATTTTTGAAGGAATTAGTTTGATATCTCAATGATAATTGGTGCAAGTTATTTTTTTTAAGTTATTGTATTTACAGGTGTTTAAAATATATATTTGATTTTGTATTCAGAACTAGTTTAATGTCTTTAAAAGGTCGAAGGTCATTTAGTCATGATTTGGTGTGAAATATAATTATAATCATAAAACAGGCATTTATCAACAATGGCAAATTTAAGTCAAAATAGAAATCAAAATAGAATGTATTATAAAGTTGGCTATTGATTGGATACCGATTGAAGTTTGACAATGGTATCTGAAATTTAAACAAATAAAACAAAACAAAAAACTCAAAGCTGTTATTTAATTGACTCATGAAAAGTTCAACACAGCATATATACAACTTTACATCATAAAGTTTTTTTTTTTATATTTTAAAACATTTTATATTATTTCCTATTGTTGTCAGGTGCATAATATATAATGTTATGGTGAGGTTACAATAGATAGATACTTGATGCTTGAATCACATTGATAGTATGCTCCTCCTGTGATTAGGAAACTTTATATGAAATATAGAATATATTTTAAATGTAATATATAGTGCTCACATAGAAACCGATAGCCTTAGGTGGGGGATACTCAAATAGTAGCTATTTTAGCAGTGTTTTCATTTTAGCGCCATCAAACTTACAATATATTGGCTCTAGAATATAACTGCAGTTTCTGTATGTTTTTTTTTATTACATAAATTAAAGGCATGCCAATATGTCAACATGTTAATGTGTTGATATTCTATGATACACTTTAGTTTTAGAAAACACACATTTTCTGTTTACAGGAATCAGTGCTATGTCATACTATGTATGATTATAAAATGCATTCTGCTGGTAAACAGTTAGTAAGAATAACAATATTTCTAGAAATCATAAATTCCTTACTTTTCAAAAAAATATCTCTTGTTATTTGACAGAAAATGTAATAGAGAATCTATTTCAGTGACGTAGGTGAATCACATAGTGTCAGCCACTGAAGTTCTTGGTAAGCATAGTAAGAAAGTTGTGTGTTAGAGTTCAAATGTAACCCTCATAAAAATCTATTAAGATTTTTCATAGAATGAATTTTTACAAAACTGTATTCCATTGCCTGCTTATGAAGTATTTTCATTGAACATGTACAGTTCGTTGATGTTGAACTTAATTTGGAAGTCCATTACATTTCGGGTCACTGCCATGGGTAAGTACTTGTAATTTATTTCCGGCTGTATAAGTTATCATCATTTCAACCATTCAAAGTCAAATTCGCTGAATGAACAAAAAAGTGCTTGTTCTAGATTGAGTTTATCTTTTTATTGGTTATGGAGCCATTGGTATTCAGGTATTCTTTTCCTACAACAAAAATCTTCAAGAAGAAACAAAATCTTTTTTTTTCTTAAAATTTTAGAGTCGTTTGAATGTTTGTCAATAATCATTGTAACTTGACATGATTCGTTATCCATTTTATGACTTTATTATGTAAAGTTTGCTGCAGTTTGTATATATATGATCCATTTCCAGATTACCAGACCTGATATAATTATTATGATGTGAGTATTTTAAAGGCGTGACACTGTCAGCATGCCATCCATTGATTAGTGTAATGCTGTGATTAGTTACAATAAACATGGCGGTTGTATTGAGATTGCTGAATTTATGTTTTAAAAAAAAGTTGTAATTTATTGATAAAAACATGAGTGACAATTTGTTTCTTTCACAAATAGATAACCAGATATTTCAGATGCAGTTTAGTTGAATGATTCAGATTCAAATTCCCCATTTTATAGAATCGTGAATCTGATAAAAACTTACTGGTTTGTTTAGTTGTAAGTGTGAGACATTTGTTTAAAGTGATTGTTAATGTTTGTCTAAAATAGTTTTTACCCAATTAGACCCACAAATGCTTCATAAAATTGTCACTAAATCCGTATAAGATAATCATGTTTGATTTTAATTTTGATAAATGTTTTTGGTCCTGTTGGGGTTTTGTTCATGTGATTCATGTTGGTTACCTCCCTTGATTTTTTTCAGGTTCTATAATTTGCAGTACACTAAGTGTTGTTAATGCATCGTTTCTTGTGTAAGGTTTATTCACCACATAAGTTAACATTAATTCAATATTGATGATACAAAATGCCTAAATGATTCTTATGTTAAATCTTTTGGAAAGGAGATGCTTAAATCACAATGATGCAACATATACCCTTAAATAAGTGATACATCTATTGAAGTCAGCTCAGTATGTGTGCAACAAAACACATGTATATACTATTCTGTGGTCGAGAGAAGATAGACCAGTACACAAGGTCAGTGATCTAGGTCTAGGTCATAAGATAGGCCAGTACACAAGGTCAGTGATCTAGGTCTAGGTCATAAGATAGGCCAGTACACAAGGTCAGTGATCTAGGTCTAGGTCATAAGATAGGCCAGTACACAAGGTCAGTGATCTAGGTCTAGGTCATAAGATAGGCCAGTACACAAGGTCAGTGATCTAGGTCTAGGTCATAAGATAGGCCAGTACACAAGGTCAGTGATCTAGGTCTAGGTCATAAGATAGGCCAGTACACAAGGTCAGTGATCTAGGTCTAGGTCATAAGATGGGCCAGTACACAAGGTCAGTGATCTAGGTCTAGGTCATAAGATGGGCCAGTACACAAGGTCAGTGATCTAGGTCTAGGTCATAAGATGGGCCAGTACACAAGGTCAGTGATCTAGGTCTAGGTCAATTTGTTGAATAGAATGAATGTGGATGACCTCATTTCCAGGTTAGCTTAAAATCATTTTAGTTTAAAGAGAGAATCTGTTTAGTACTGAGGATGGACGGGTAATATTATCTAGAGAAGCTGTCTACGTAAGTCTGAGTTAGTGTTTGTAAAATGTTAATATCAAGATCTGAAAATAATAAAATAATTAGTTGTTAATTCATTCTATGTCTTCTGGTTGTTCTTAACATGACATGGAACTTGACTTGAAAGTTACTGACAAAGTGAATTTCCCAAATGATAACGTGATCTGCTGTGTAAAAAGTCTGACATTGCAACAAAATTAATTATAATTAAGTTTAAACTTGATAAAATGAAAACAAAATATGAGATCAAAGGAAAGATTTCTGGAGAGGATTTTAAATGTAGAAAGGAAATACAAGTTGTGTTTAAGCAGGGCAAGCACATTCTGCTTCCTGGACAAAATCACGACATATTAATGCAAGTAACTTCTTAACTGAAGGATTAGTTTTGTTGCTCTCCTGTGCCTGTCTAAAGGTCAGGTATAACAATACTCTGCCCGACAGATAACTAGTGACGAATTGTATTGACCATACTAATACTTGGGTCTATTTTCTCCAAGGAGTTGAGAGGGTAAGTAAGTCACACACTCTTTTGTAGATAACAGGCGTATGATGAAATCAACTGCTGTACGTCCATAATAACATTAAACATTATATTGATGTTCAGTATACCATGGCTGGTTTTTTAAAGTAAAATTGATGATTGCATTGAGACTTTAAAACTATTCCACTGTTTTTAGCCCACCACCATCAGATGGTGAGCTAATAAAATTGACTTGCGTCAGTGGTCCATGGTCTGTCCTAAACAAATTTGTTATCGCTAGTTTTTGAGAAGTTCAGGATGGATCTTTCTCAGATTGTATATGTAGGTTGCCTTTGGTCCCTAGTTAATTTTGGGACTGTCCAAACAAACAAAGTGGCCGAAAGGCGGCCATATAAGATTTTGACTTTGAAAGTTTGTTATCGCTATTTCTTTAGAAGTTTCCCTTGATCCCCAGTTGTGTACATTTGATTTTGATACTGATAAGAA